GTTTGAGTTTGGTATTTTTCATTAGGGTTACTAATAGAAAAGGTAGCATGGAGTTGAATGAAGCAGTGTCCTGTGCGCCTAAGAAACATAGATTTATACGGATTTATGCTACGATTGATGTTGTTGACTGCGTTGATTTGAGATAGCGTTGCTGCACAGTAGCTACCGAGAAGGCTAATTGATCTTGTATGAAATACAGAGCGTCCTATATACCGTATGCGTGATAATGTTTGCACCATCGTACAAATAAGGTTCCCGTTTCACCTGTGCATACAATGCCTTGGTTTTCTTTGCATGCACGTAACCTATAGCTCATACCGTAGTAGCATAGAGGTAACTCTAAGACTAGAAAGTCCCGAAATAATGTGCTCAACTTCTGGGCTCAGCTCTGGTACTCTCTTCGGTTCCAAGCTAATCGATTCACCCCTCGAAACATAGCTTGGGACCGAAGAGAGTACCAGAGCTGAGCCAAAAAGTTGAGCACGTTATTTCGGGACCTTCTAGTCTTAAAGTTACCTCTATGGTAGCATAGTAGCAACAATCAATACGAAACTAACGATTTTAAATTGGCTCTCCACTTTAGTAGCCTATTGGTCCCAAGCAAACGATTAACGTACCCTATTCTAGTTGAAATTCTATTACTACACTATGTTTGTTTTGATTCGCTATGAAAGTTTGACAGATAACATCAGGGGTGTGTGGATTCATGCAGAACATGCAGGGGTGAGTGAAATAGCTTGGGACTGCTTGGGACCGTTGTTCTGGTACTGAGTGAGCCAAAAATAATAATGATTTTCTTCGGGACCCAGTGGTCTTAGAGTTACCTCTATGGTTGCACCATGACGAAGTGGCAGCGTATTCGTGATTTGTTCCATGCGCAAATGTCACAAAAAGACATTTCAATCGCCGTAGGAGTGTCCCGGTGGACCGTCAAAAGGGTTTTAGACCGAGAAAAGAAACGACAACTATCCGCGAAGGTGGCCACAGGTCGTCCGATGTCAGCTCGGGTTCCGAGGGTTATCGCTGCTATCAAAAGGAAGATTCGGGTGAATCCAGTGCGTTCAATAAGGAAAATGGCAAAGGAACAAGGGATCAGTGATTTTACGGCACGGAAGATCGTAAAGGAAGATTGCGGGGCGAAGTCGAGGGCCCGGAAAAAAAACTCACATGATCCCGCATAAACAATAACCATAAGATGCGCCTAACCACCAATTCGGGATATCATCCCAATTTTATGTGGTATGGTCGCACCATCTAAGATATCGTCAGTATATGGTACACGTTTATTAGGGATTACCAACCGCATCCGGGAGCTACGAGTCGAACGATGCAAGAAAATCTTAAACTTCCTTAAGCGAAAAAATCCGGTAATCCTGTTCACTGACGAGAGCATGTTTACCGTCGATCCCGTATCAAATTCTAGAACCGACCGGTATATTAGTTCTCTTCCGGTAAAAGACGTGGCCGACGAGCACAAGAACGTGTATCTGACCAAGCATCCTGCTAGCGTCATGGTGTTTGTATTGGTGGCTTCCAATGGCAATAAAATGGACCCGATGTTCATTCCAGAAGGCGACAAAGTCAACACGGAGGTCTACATCGGGATTTATGTAAGTATGTTCTTCCGTGGATCAAAGAACAGTACGGTCCGAAGCCAAATGTTGTATTTCAACAAGATGGGGCTCCGTGCCAAACCTCTAACCGCACTCAGAAGTGGTTGCAGGAACATCTTCCGTTCTTGGCGAAGGATATGTGACCGCCATCCAGCCCCAATATTAATCCGCTGGATTACTCAATATGGCGCGTCATGAAGGCCAAGGCCTGTTCTAAACGCCACCCGAGTACAGCAAGCCTCAGACAAACATAGACCCGTACGGTACGGGTACGGGCCGTAATTGGAGAGAAATGGATCCAGACTACTACATTATTAGAACCTGCCGTGCATTCCGGAAGCGTGTGGAGGCCGTAATTGCAGCAAGTGGAAACTAGATCGATGATTAACATAGTTTAAGACTCTGAGAAACATCCCCCAATTTTGACATTGCTCAATGGTGCAAACATTATCACACATACGGATTACTAGATAGAGAAAGCCGATTTGACATGATGAACACTACCTCCAGTAGACTCGAGGGTAGACTTTCGTTTCGAATGTTAATCGGATTTCGGTCACAGCGAATGTACTTCTTCGTTCTTCACAAATTTGTCATGTGTCCCTCGGGTTTGGGATAGTAACTTTGGACTTTCGTCTTGTTCTTCAACGACGTTATGCTGTTACTCGGGCTAGACGTCACTATTGAATCTATTGGTTGACTATTGAATCTATTGATCTATTGGTGGCGATAGCTAGGTGCTGCAGCTTTGACAATATATGGACGAGGAGAGCAGGAAAGCGTGTCGAAGAGAAGATTGTAACGTAAAAACACCTAGCTATTATCACCTTGGTAAGCTAAGGGAACATACATAAAGTACGTAGCATTTGATGGAGGAGGGCGGAGGCGGTGGTTTCTCGATGACGTGCTGTTGTTTAAGAAGTTGTGACCGACCATGTACTACCCAACAGATAACTTATGCTGAATAATGTATGAATAAGGGCCCAAGCATTAATTATGTCACGCTAAATCGAGGAGAAATCACCCCCCCCCCTATCGTGACGTTTTTCCTTTACCTAATGCATTGCTTGTCACAAAATCTTAGAAAACCCTCCCCCCCAGAGCGTGACATAATATCCCAGACAACCAGAATGCACATATATTCAAAGTTGTTTTCGTGATATACAAACATATATACAAACAAACAAATCGTATAGAATGCAAAGAAATGGCTTATACGTACAAAAGTGGAGGCCATATACGTGCAAATTTTAATTTAATTTATAACGAGTTGATTTAACATCATATACGATTTAATCTGTAATAACAAATTCACTTTGAAAAGTCTTACGATGTAATCCAATTTGATTTGTGATACAGTACGACGGAAAAATGAATCATCGCATATTGGTCGGAAATTTGCAATCCATAGGATTTAACTTAAACGTAATGCGATGCATGCCATTCTTAAATGCGATTTTGACTTAAACTGTAGCAATTTACGATACTGTCTGCACATTTTTATACGATTTCTGGTTGTCTGGGATATGCATCAACCCGAACCAATTTTTTAGTTGTTGGAACATATTTTTGCTGAATAAGCCCTGTTCTTCTTGTAATGTGTGTTGGGTAGGTATAGCCAAAATACGCTACGAGGGGAGTGCGGGGGGTCTAAAAAAAATATGCTACGTTATTTATGGATGGTCTCTAACGCCCTAACTATATGGTGCTACATTACCTCGAGTGTCACTTCCACGATCGCCATTGTTTCGATTAGCTATTACCCCAACCCGGAGAACTGAGATTAGGGCGTAATTGCTTTTGTAAACAAACACTTCATTTGACGATTTCTCGCGAAATAAAGCTCAATCTCAAAAACTAATAACACAAACAGGTAGATGAATGGTTCCTCTATCATTTAGTATAGTTTATTCACGAGATTGTTCTTTTATTCGCGAGAAATCGGCGATTGGAATGTTTGTTTACCAAAGCAATTACGCCCAAATCTTGTTCATTTCTGGTAATGAAATTCACTTTTTTTTGAACTCGCTTTCGTCGTACTTAAAGAGCCTGAATTTATAAAGAGGCGACATCTTATCCATTTGACAGGTCTTCTGCTCGATTGGAATGACTTTTCCTATGACTTTGACAGATAATCGATTGTTCCAATTTTGACATATCGTCTCTTTATAAATTATTCAGGCTCTTTAGTCGTACTGCGTTATGTTTCGCACTTTTACACCGACGAAGGATGGGTGGTCGATGGAAAAAAAACTAATTTTGTTCTATACATAACTGTTTAATCACAGACAAACAGACAATTTTTTGCTCGTTGATGATAAAGTGCACAGTGATATGCTATGAACTTTGAAGTTCGCACACTACCGCCATCTGTTGAGCGCAGTGTCCTCAACAGTGTGGCAAACGGATGGAAATAGTGTTTTATGGACGATGTTCTATAATCAATGTGAAAATTCAGTGTTATGTATGTTAGTCTGTGGTTTAGTTCTATGTTGGTGACGAGACCATCGTCAGATGAATGAGAACGATAACATAGAAACAGCAAACAACTGCTTCTACGAAATGTAGGGGTTATCGGAAGCTTAATTGTTTAGCTTTCGATAACCCTTCATTTCGTAGAAGCAGTTGTTTGCTCAGAATAAATGAAACTTGAACAGAGAACCACAAAAAAGGAGTTTTAGGTCAGCTAGCCATCTTCAACTATATGCACCTCTTTACGATGAATGTAATTTAAATATTTGGATTGCATCACAACTGGAAGTGGGTGCTTAGCTGCTGACAATCCAAATTATTTGAATCCATTACGATGTGAGTGCGAGGGCCTCTAAGTAGCAACAATAGTTTTTATGTCGTCATACATGTGCTTTCGCTGGACCTAAGGCGCCTAATCAGTTATGAGTACGGTTTAGAAAATCTGTTGTGTTGAAAATTTTCTGGACATCCCTGGACATCGAGTATCATTGTACTTGATTAACACACAGTATACAACTGCATGCATTGGTTGACATAGAAAGCTCTCAATTAATAACTAAGCTTAAAAATCATTAAGTTGAGAGCAGACCAAAGCTCGTAAAAAAGCATCATAGCCAGAAAGAAGAATGCGAGCTATCGATTGCTGTTAATTAACGCATGATGTTCATACGGGGTCGCGTCCAGGCGATGAACCGATAGCAACACAGCCAGTGGCTGATCGCTGTTGTAGTGCGAGTAGTGGTTCTATAGCTATTAATAGAACCTTTTCCTTGGTTGGACAGTGGAAGCAGAGAAAAGAAAGAACAGCTTTCTAGAGCAAGTGCGTGTAATGAGTTTGCCATATGTCGATCGTAGTAATATGATTTTTTCCGGGATCTTCGGATATGTTATTCGTATAAAACAGAACACGCGATCCCCATCTTAGTGGTTTTTCATTCTTTATTTGTATTACCTCATTATCATTACCTTGTTCTCGTATGAATTACAGTAGCAGTAAAATATTAAATTTTATGAAATAGAAGAATATAGGGATTTTGCTTAGTTTAAACATTTTTTCCATGTTTTTTCTTACCATAGCGATTATCAGAACAGAAAAAAGTAGAACCTTAAAATCATTCCATACAGAGCCGTATGTATGCTTACTTTCTGCTGATTGCGTATGATGAATTTATGCACACACGACCTTATAGTACGTTGAAACGAATAAAACGAATTGCTATAGAAAATCTTTTAAACAAAAAACATTAAGTTAGAAAAAGTTTAAAATAACTATACTTTGATTTTGGATTTTCTTTAAATTTACCACTTTCTGCCATAGCTTGTGCCCCGTACGGTAGCCGGATCGTCAACTGTTTTGGCTTGAATCGATAGAGTGAATTGTTTGTTTGTTGGCTTGTTTGCCTACTACTTACTATTTTATTTAACTTGTTTTGTTGTTTGCTTTGTCTAAATTGCAACGAACTAAGCGAGAAGAGCACTCGAAAAATAATAATGGCTCTTTCTAGAGGATTAAGCTTACCTCCAGGATTGAAACGGAAACCGCGTTGTAAAGCAGAAGTTCAATGACTGCTTATTAGTGCTTCATTAAATTAAAAAAAAAAATGGTTTGCGCGGAAAATTATAGAAAATTTATTGGAACACTTTTGAAGGCATTGATAAATAAATAAAAAGTTTTTAGTCGATTAAAAAGATTAAATTTAAGTTCTTCTACAAAGGCTAAATAAAATCCAGTAAAATTTGGTAAAATATTTTAGGATCTTGAAAAAAAAACGAAAATTAATAAAAGTTCAATCGAATTTCGCCTTCGTCTACATTGTTCAGGAAAATGCCATTGATAATTTTCATCCACATATTTTCGTATGTATTGAATCAGCGTGGACAACTTTCCTCACTAGTTTTCATGAAAATGTTGTTAAATACTTATTTTATTCTCCCACAAAGCACATAATACTGTGCTTTTATTGTTTTCCTTCACAAACATAGACAAGTTTCATTTACCATTGGTTTCCATTGGCACTGTGGCCTTGAAACTTCCAAGCAAACCGAGTTCGATTCCTTCACAAGGACTTCCCCCATCGTGACAAATCAACCCACAAAATGTATCGGCCTTACAATCTTTCAGTTCACATGAGTTAATTATAAACTACTAATTTATCGGGCTTTTTTTGCTCAATTACATTTATCTTGTATTTACCATTCTATCTTGCGCGGACATGCTGCTATCTGCTTTAAGATTAAATTCTAATGCCTTCCAGTGAATGTTGGTTTCTTGTTGTTGTAATCAAATTTCCTTTTTTGTTTATTTTGCGGAAATGGTGGAGAATACATTACTTAAACGAATGTTGGTTATTAGAGAAAAGTCTTCGTCCTACCTCAGCTCCTATAGGACCGCTCACCAATCAGCCAATTTACGCCGGAAGCTGTAGCTTTTTACCCTTCAACACCTTGGTGATATAGAGGTAGAAGAAATCGCAGTACAGGATCGTTTGGATAGCTCCGGCGAAAATCGCAATCAGATCATAGTGTCCCTCGGTGTAGTACCGGTAGATCCAGTTGAGAATATACAGTGCACGGTACGAACCCAAAGCGAACAGGTAATGACTGGTAATACTTTCCGCTTCGCCCGTTTTGCTGACGAGGAACAACTGCGGCAAGATGGCCACCGCTTCCAGGTAGATCGAGAATGTCCACAGCACTTCCAGCGGAGTGAAGCTAGCATTGATCAGTAGGGACAGTACGAAGCACGGCAACAGCAGGAACTCAATACGGAATGAATCGTGATTGTGGTCGTAGGTCGCCTTGAACTTGACGTACATCATGTAGAGGGTGGCAAACGATGAGGAGATGAACACCAGCTTCATCATCGTGTTGTACAGGCTAATGTACGTTGTCACTAGATCCAGATAGCGACTGACATAGACCACGGCGAACAGAATCTGCGACTTGCCGGAGATGCCAGCGCACGACCTCGTCTTCCATATTTTTATCAGCAGCAGGATAATAGCTAAAAGATGTGCCAAGTCACCGGCCAATCGGAAAATGTTCATTCTCGCGCTCGATTCACCACAACACCTCCCGAAATTATACTCAAACGACGGCCACCGACCTTAGCTTCCGAGGAAACACACTTGGGAAGTCAAAATTTCCCGAAAAACCGACAGAAAATTGAAAATTTTCCAATTTTCAGCTAAACCGGACCGACTGACGTGTAAACACTCTTCTTCTACCAAGATGGCAATTTTCTTCTTTCTCGTTCTGGCCCGTTTGTTGGATGCTCCTGTCGACGACGGAGTCAAAGCGATGACGAAGAGAGGTGTCATTTTTTGACGTTCAACCGAACGCGAAACGCGTTTACGTGTCAAAACTCGCGGATCCGTTTCATTTCGACTGTCTAGTCAGACAATGCGATCCATTTGCGTTCAGGGTGGTATTTAAAGAGATCGTTAGGTATAGGCTTGCAAAGTTGTTGAATCTGTTGTACCCACACTCAAAAAATTCAATTTATTTTTATTATAAACCCCTAAATTTATTTTCTATTAGATATGATTAACATGAAATCCATATAAAAAAGATATGACATCAATTTCTTTGACATATAGGGGTAAGAGGGACATAGTGAACAGGTGGGGTATAGTGAGCATCCCTCACTTTGGCTCTAGATTTCCAGCTGCATGAAACAAATCAACTGGTAGTAGGTTCAATATCATTATGATATTGATCCTACCACCAACCAATTGGTTCCGAACGGCCGGTGCACAGGATGCTCACTATGCCCCACCTGTTCACTATGCCCCTCTTACCCCTAACTTAAATGTGATACGTTATGAAAGGTATTGCGCATTTCACACCAAAATGGACTAATAAGCGCGTTTTCACTTATTAAAAAGTGTGATAAAACTGCAAGTTTACGTCTAATCGTCTTGGTGTCTTCGGTGCACTTATTCCTTACAATGCAAGCAATAAGTGCTCCGAAGACATCAAAACGATTTGACGGAAACGTGCACTTTTATCACACTTTTTGCATTTTTGGGACAGTCCAGTTTCAGATGCAATCAGCAATATAAGTGGAATGTTTTGGTTCAAAGGTATAGGTAAGTTTCTACACAGCTCGGTATTTTTATTTTGCTGGATCACAGTGAAAAACGCACCGAATGGGATTGAAACCAGGCTTTTTGGGGTGAGATGAAATCACGCATACCATCGCGCTAAAATACGGAATCTAAAAAAAATAATAATAAATTAACAAAAATTAACTACTGTGGTTCGGGGGAAAATTGATCACCGGGGTAAAATTGGTTGGTTGATGATAAATATCGAGAGAAATCTTGATAGTTTTTCATTAAAAGACTTCAATTAGTAGCTTTGACGAGATTATTTTTACAAAAAAGGTCATAAAGCTTCATATATAGATGAATAGCATTCCATTTTCAAACATACGAATCGTTGAGTTGGAACGATTGTTGTCCTTAACTTAAAAGTTTAATTTTTCATTGTGTTTAGTGTTAATCAATTATGTTTTTTAAATATGATAAAATGTTTCCAATATTAGAAATTAATTATTTTCTGTGAAATTACAAGTGACATAAAAAATGCCAACATTAGGTGCAACTCCATTTAAAAAATAAATTTTCCATAATATCTGCTAAAAATATATTTCGTACAAGGATTTAGGGAACCCACATTTAATAAGAATATCCCATAGAAAGTTACTCGAAAGCCATTTGAGGGACTAATCAATGTCACCCAATATTTTTTATGCTCGGTTTTATATGATCAATTTGCCCCCGAATTACGGTATTAAATCTAGAATTGCGTTTATCCTTTATCCTCTTTACTACATAAAAACTAGAAATACTCAGAGGGAGAGATAGGCGGAAAAAACAAAATACTATTCGGCAGCAGGGATTTGTTCCTAAATTATCTGGCAACCCTTGTTAGAAGCTAGCATTTCAAATGACTTTTATTTTTGATTCGATTTACGTGCAAAATAATAATTGATTGCATAGCAATATTTTGCACATTTCTTGGTGCCATTCATTAACCAAAGAAGATCAATTAATCAATAGAGTTAGAATATTGTTTTTGGTTCCAAAATCTAGTTGAATTTGAGAAGCACACAAAACATAAAGGTGATTGAATTTCTGTTCGATTGCAATACTCTCAAATGTATTCTAGTAAGAATAAGAAATCCTCGGAAAAAATCTAATTGGAACACACAGAGAAATGATTTTTATATTCAAATGGATATATTTTTGGCTCAGGGCCTAATATATTTTTGGTATTGATTCAAATATATTATTCGGTTAGTTCAAAGAAAAATATTTTTAAATCAACAAACCGGTTGTAGAGTCAAAAATCTGTTTGTTGATTCCAAAAACCATTTTGTTGATTCAAAAATATGTTTCGTTGAAATAGTGATACAATATGTTTGAATCAATAACAAAATACATTAGGCCCTGAAACAAAAATCCATTTTTCTGCGTGAATGTTATATTGGCTCAGATTTTGACAGTTCATTTGGCTCAAAACATTCTCTCCGCCCATCTCTCCCTCTGAGTATTTCTAATAAAAACAGTACAAATCAGTAAAAAGAAGTGTAAACATCTATTGACGAGTGCACGGATGGATTTGAGTTCACTCACTCGACAAAAAGTGACACAACAGCGGGGCCCTGTTTACTAAAAATGAACACATATGTGTTCATATGTGCCCTGTTTACTAAAAATGAACACATATGTGTTCATTTTTAGTAAACAGGGCCCCGCTGTTGTGTCACTTTTTGTCGAGTGAGTGAACTCAAATCCATCCGTGCACTCGTCAATGAAGCATTGATGCCTGCATTTAGCTTCAATGTATACGTGAATTCTTCAATATCGAACTTCTTAAGAACTTTACTTTGGATGTTCAGCAACCAAAAAGAACTCAGCAATTCTTTAGTTATAGATGTCCTATTAGAAGTGACCTTCATTTGCAATTAATCAAAACTTCGTAACTTGCGTAAAGATCTTTTACCTCAACTCAACAATAATTGGTGACCAACAAACTCAGATACCTATATTGAAATTCTCGAAAAACAAAAACACGAGGAGCATTGTTTATAGCAAAACTTATATAGCGGAAATGGCTCTAATGTTGGCCTATGGATCTAACATTGGGCTCATCGCTAAAAATCTGCTATATATCAATTTTATCTAGACGAAAGCGTTATTGGGACGGTACTAATGAATATTTTTGGTCGCTATTGATAATTTCCAGACCAACAATTGAAATGGCCTTAACTCTATTGTGCCAAATGAAAATTGTAAGCCCGTTTTCTCGCGGACCGAAACCTACATTTGCAAACCTAAACCACAATCGGGTAGAGGAGAATTTCTCCTACCTGTTCATTATGTTGGTTTGTCTTTGCGGACTTCGGTTCGCGAGAAAATGGCCTTACAAGGTTTGTATACAAAATGGAGTTAATACCCTGGACAGACTATGGGTTATATCATGTAATATAGGCTGTCTTGCAATGAGCACTAGACTGATGCAAAATTTGAAATTTTCGCTCCACGGTTCCAAATTGGGTCCTGCTTAGCCTCCCAAAATTTGAACTACTTTAGTAAGAAACTGACTTGGCACAAACCATTTCAAGTTTATATGGGAATTACTATGGGAAAACTTATGTTTTTGTTCATATCTATCTAACAATTCACCACATCACTATGCTTTTGAAAATTACAGCAGTAATTGTAGCAAATTGTCTCAGCTACAACTTTGTTGAAAACCACTTTTCAATCAAATGTAAGGAACAAAAGTTATGAATGATTTAAGTCACTGAAGTCTTATGATTATGCTCATTCAAATGTTCAGCATGAAACGTGTTCAACTTTTTGGCTCAGCTCTGGTACTATCTTCGGTTCCAAGCTAATCGATGCACATAGGAAACACACACATAGGAAAAAATCGTTAGTTTCCACCGGTTGGTAGAAGTGACGCTCGGCTCTCGCTTTGAGTTATTCTCATTGGCCATGTACTCATTGAGTGCTCTGCTATCAGTGACTCGTTTACTTCCCAATAATTCAGAGTCTCACGAGGCAGTGCATGATGAGGCGGGTGGATGTTCATATTCATATGAAAATGACTCATTGAACCTGACTGTTTTGCGCACTGGTACACTACAGGGTGAATGTTAATGGTTCTGGATTTAATATATTTTTAAGGTAGATAGGGCTCCCAAAGAAAAAATCCCCATGAAAAATATGCTCGGAAATGACTGCTAAGTGAGTTATTCAACATTCTATGTTCTATGTTTCTCATAGCAAACTTTGGTTAACTAAATTTTATCAATATTAATGTATTTTTGTGATTTCAACATACCAAATGAAAGATTGAAGTTTTACCTATCAAAGCTCCAAAGGAACTCGATTATAGTAAATTATCATACATAAAAAAGTACAAAAAAAAAAATCAGGTCAAATTACGTACATTTTAGTGTTTTTAAGTTGAAAATTTTCATTACTGTTAATTTATTTGTTACAAAGCATTCTCCATGCAGTTCCCCTCGCAGTTCCCTTGATTTGTGCTTTTGGTAGTAATCTAGTGGGTTTTATAGTTTCTTGGTAATTATTGATTTAAAACACCCATGAAAAGTTGCGACGTTTTCTTGAAACGCCCCATGGGCACCGAGGGGGGCGCCTCTATCTACAATGCAGGAAAAATTGTGTTTTGCTGTGGTTAGCTGCACGCACGCTGAGTAGATAGAAAGAAGATTAATGACGATTCTGAAGATTTACTGCAAAAAGATGATGCGCGATGCAAGTAGATGCGAGAAATGCAAGAAGATTTTTCGAAGATCGATTCGCTAGTGTGAGATTTGTTGAGCATCTAGAGTTGAGATTTAGATGTGTTGCCCCCCTCGATGGGCACCATATTCATTCGTACGTTCGGCTGTTGCAGCCCAATACGCGCTTGGAAATTGGCTAGATTATTATTGTAAGCAGGCTTGCAATTGCTCATTACAGCTAAAATGCTAGTTTTAGTAATTATGAAACTATGGGATACTACACTAATAGAATTCCACACATTTTTATTGACGAATCTCCATGTAAAATTCCACATAATTTTCATGTAACCACAAATAAACAGAATCCACCCAGAAGCACACATGAAAGTTATGATTCAAATGAATAGTAAGTGTGGTTACAAATGGCTTTTATGTGTACACATATGTGTCTGACACATAGATATCATCTGTTGATCACATTGCAAAAATT